TTATCATTCATCACAAATCGGAATAATTGAACATTTTTCGCAGTACTTACGTACATTGAGTAATTAGTAAATTAAATAAATGTCTAGCTAAATATGCAATTGATTCGTAATTTAATTTGTAGATACCATAAAGTCAAGTTATACATCTCGAAGAAGAAAAAAAAAATTTAATCTGTGCCATAAAAGGTGTACATTTTTTTTATAACGTACGAAATTTTCTTTTAAAATTAAATTCTAATTGCAATCGTTTCCAAGTCAGTATCCTTTCCTCTCCTCGTTCCTCTCTGCTTAATGCGTTAAAGCGCAAAAATTTTCCGCACATTTTCCAGGCGTCGAAAGGCAAGAGCAATTTTTACCCGAGAATAAATTTGCAGGTTGAAACAAGATTTGCATTTCATATTTTTTTTTTTTTTTTACGTAAAAAAAAGTTAAAAACTTTAAGAAAAAGCAGCTTTATCATCATTACATCGTATTAGTATAAGAGTTGGTAATTTGTATACCATATTTAAGCATATCTTCTTAACTTCAGCTATGAACAATGCATTTACGATAAAAAAAAAAAAAAAAATTTCATGTAATAGGAGTCGAGTTTACTCTTTGTCGATGCTGCACTTCCATTTGCCAGTCACGTTCTCAGTACCGGAGCAAAAAAAAAAAAAAAAAAAANTCGCTTTGGTTGCCAGAAATATCAATTTTCAAGTGCTCTTGCGACAGTTTGCTGGATTCGCGGATGGTATATTACAAGGCTTTTATGGCTCGCTGGATGAATCTCGAAGATTTAAGGGCCGACGGTGACTACACGCGTCCGTGTACAAACGATCGCCGACACGCCTCCTGTACTTGGTTTATCTTGCCAAGCAAAAAAGTGTCCTCGTAATGTCGATGGTCGTTTGATCATCATAAAGTTGCCTCAAGACCAATTTATGGCCTATAGTTGCCTCATCAATTATCTCAAAAACTAATCCGTCTTATTCGAGTAGTCACGGTGTATCGAGTACTTTAATACCTTGACTTTTGTTGTCCAAACTATTTATTTTCCTTTCACATTGTAGCGCAAAAACTTTTGACCAAAAATATTTTGCCAAGCACTTAGTTGTAAGTAGTGACTGAAAAAAATTTTGCATCTTGAGGGACGCAAAAGTCTACTGTTCCCAACGGTCGTTGCGTCATAGCTACGTGCAATCACCGAACTAATTCATCTTTCAGCAGCTACGACACCACTGGACTTTGGTTGTACGCTGCTACTTATACTGATGACTGGTTGTTATTAAATTTACCTTTACGGTGCACGTGTATCGCGAGAGAAAAAAATTGGTTCGATACACAGGTGCACCCGATACCGATCTGCACCTTAGACCCGTATTTCGCCAACAACAACGAGGACAGTAACTTCTGTTAAAAAAAAAAAAAAATTACAGTGTATAATTATACTTCCAGTGTATTTGTTCGATCCCCCCCCCCCCTCCCAAAAGAGAGCACACCAAGATCGAATCATCGAGCTCCCCATGTTGTGTGCTATCTCTATACTATAAATATTCGTATAGATCCTTCGTATATTATTATATACGAGTATCGCCAAGGAGAGACGAGAAGAGGAGAGGCGAAGCAGCGAAGGATGCAAAACGTCCTCGCAGCATGTATACCTGGCGCTGCTGCTACTTCCATGTGCTCTATACGTACATAAATATTTAATACATGTATGCACGAGAAAGAGAACAAGAGAGAGAGAGAGAGAGAGTGAGAGAGAGGAGAGTAGGGCGCGCGAAACCAGTTATATAGTCATGTCCCGCGGGTTGGCTCTCCCTTGCTCCGTTCGTTTTTTTCATTCTCCTTCGTTCGTTCTTTTATGCTCTTCTGTTCGTCCTGAGCGTTGGTATAGTGTTGTGTGTGTGTCTTATGTGTTACACACGTGCGTGTGTGCGCCGGTTCTGTGGGAACGGTCTCTCGGAGATGCAGGGGACGATCCGGTGCAGCAGAGGAAGTTAGCATAGGATGAGCTCGTGCGGAGGTGGAGGAGTAGGATGGCGATGCGTGTGTGTACGCATATTGATGTTTAGGGGTGTAGCAAGGAGCCGTGGCGCCTTGGTTTCGTATACCATGTGTAAACGAGTATAGTCTTTGTGATGTTATTTTTTATTTTTTTTTTTTTTTTTTTTTTTACCAAACAGTTCTTTTAGCTGTGGTGCAGAACCGGGTTGTGATCGATTCGTGGGATAATTAGAATATTAGAAGAAGAAGAAGAAGAAAAGACGCACGGCGATGAATTTTTAAACTCTTGCTCGTTCATTGAATGACGAAACTTGTATACAAATCAAATCATCGAACCCCGACGATAATATTTACATCACTGATAATGTTTATCACCTATACGCTCCTCCAAAAACCAGATGCGTTTTGTTATATCAGAGATTACTCGCAACATTTCAGCTCGTGCGTTCACACCGACGATTAATGAATCACTTTTTATTTGTTTTTCGTTCTTTCGGCGTATTCGTCCATTGGTCGTATTAATCAATAGTCCAGGACTAATCTGGGATATAATTTTTTCCGAGTGGGTAAAAAAACAAAAACAAAAAAATCAAGTTGAACAGAAGAAAGGAACAACCCAGTGTCTCAAGGACGCCTATCCTCGGCCATCATCGTCATGCGCGTGAAAAAAAAGGCCCACAAAACGCGCAGACGACGCGTCGTCTGTTGTGTAGAGCCGGCGACGATCTTCTGACTGCGGGGGAGGAAGAGTCACTCGATTTTTGGACCAGTGCCCGGAAAGAGAACGCGCCGAAATAATATGCCGATAAATCCTTGCGCTAAATTGATTTATGGGCCGCGTCCTACCGCGACTTGCGGGGGTGCGGGGACACCCTTTTTGGCCCCCGAAAGAGGAACGTGGGAAAAAAAAAAAAAAAACTCGTCGCGCCGCTGCAGAGAAGTGTGTGATAAGTGAGTGTTTATTCGACGGAAATTTAGGGTTGTAAGGTTTTGTGCGTATGGGTGTCCTCGCGAGGTTGAATGCTTTTAAAATTTTAGTACTGGCAGTATACGTACATGTACATACGAGGGGGTAGTTGTTGTTCAGTAGATTTTTGTCACGTTAAATGTATGGGTATGAAAACAAGTAATTTATCATTATCATAGTGCTTATATAAACGAATACATATTATGCGTCATTTACATTTATATCATGTATGACTAAATAACGGTCATGCATTATTGTGTTAAAATTATTTGTGTTGGTGCATCTAGTGAGAGACGATAAAAAAAAATACGTATAAAACAATGAGACTTTTATTTTCATTGGTCACATTGTCGTGTATCTACTTACATCGATATAGTATGAAAAATTTAGGAAAAATACTTAAACGCAACTAATATTAACTAAAGCTCCTAAAGTGTCTCCAACACGACCATAATGTTTTAAAAATAATACTGTAAAATATGATGCGTACCAAAAAAGTGCTATTAGGTATATATAGTTGCGTCACACTCGCGAGCCTGAAATCGCCCTTTTTTTTACTTTTTTAAAGTTGTAAAACAAAAAAAAAACAAAAAAAAACAAAAAAAAACAAAAAAAAACAAAAAAAAAGAAATACACCACTGACGAGAAGAGGGGGAGGGAGAGTTGCAAAAGTGAGCTGCTCGCCAAAATTAAAGAGCAGATGACATGATTAAATTTGCGCGTGCAGCCAAAGGGAGCTAGGATTTAATCTCGAGAGGGACGGAACGTCAAACGCGGTGCGGAGCCTTTTTGCGCTTTTGCTCCGTACGCGTGTGCTTTCGTACATATATACATATTGTGCTCGCACGTTGGAGGAAAAAAAAAAAAAAACGTTCGGTGAGCTCTCATTTTGCTGGAAGTTTCACAAAGCAACGAAAAAAAAAAAGTTAACTGCACGGAGAGAAAAGAGACTTTTTCACGTGGTATCTACGTGAAATGAACTTCGATGCGGGGAAAAGCACTAAAATAAGGCCTGTGTGACGGGGATGAAAAGCTCTGACGAGTGGCGTCTCTGTATTATTACCTATCGTGTTAAATGAAGAGAATATATATATATATATACATACGTGAAAGACTTGCGTATTCATAGTTGCGGTGGATGAAAGTCAAGTCTTCTCGTGTTTACTACATAAATACGAGTACTTAGTGTGTCGAAGTACGCGTTTAAATTAGCGTGTAGTTGACATTGCCCTTTTTTATAAAATACATGGCGGCTGTGTTGACGAGAATTGAAAAAATTTTATTATATCAAAAAAAAATTACAACTCTATGCTTCAAACGTGTACTTCAACTTATTTGGATTTACAAAATTTGAATAAAAAATACAACATTTAGATTTATCGACAATGAAGAACGTATTCTTTAGAGACTACGGATTTGTCCCATCGCTTGGGGTACTGTTATCGTTATTTCAACATTTTTTCATCATAATTATGGTGCTAGTGTTGATATCGGAAGGAAAGGGTTCTTCTTCGATGAAGCACGAAGCTTTTTTTCCTCTAAGAGGAGCTTTGAGCTTGCGAACATTGTGGGGGGGGGGTGAGTCTGGGGACTTGTGGACTTATTTTTCAAAGTTAAGCTGCTACAATCTGCTGCGTCGTGGTGTTTCTACACTAGGAAGACTTATGCTGGATTTTTTCTAATAAAATTTTTCGTATCCATGAAAAAACGTATATCTTTTGCTTTTGGGCATTTTTGCTTGTGGCTTTATTTCTGGCCAAATAAACAAAAAAAGTACGCATTAAATCGAGATTTTTTAAGTGGATGAGCTTAATTTTTTAGTGCAGTATTTAAACATCGTTTTTAGGTGGTAGCATAAAGGTTTGCTCGTACAAATGATGTACGAACAAAAATACATTTAATTTTAATGTTGACAAAAGCATGAAAATTTTTCCTTTTTTTTTTCTTGTATATAAAGTACAGTAAAAAAAAGTACACCGAAAGATCGCAAAAATAATGATTATGTTAACATGCAAACATATAATATAAACATTTGAAATTACAGGAAAGCGACAACCTCTGGTGGGACGCGTTTGCGACTGAATTTTTCGAAGACGACGCGTCGCTCACGCTCACGTTTAATCTCGAGGACGGACCGAAGAGATACAGTGAGTACAAAGCTCTTCTTCTACTTCTACTCCCCTGCTTCCCATCCCCTTTTTTTTTTAAATATCAATTTCATCCGTAAGAAACTTGCGTCTCCGATGTCCGGAAAAGTCACGAAACTGCCCGCGAACGATATGCTAAATACCCTCCTTCTCCTCCTCCTCCTCCTCCCGCGTTAAATATGTATTTATGCAAATTCGCGCGAAATTTCTTGGAACAACTCCCTTCCTCTTGCACGTCGGCGGTGTATTAAATTTCGCGAGAATTTCAAATCGAATCGAACTTCGACTCTTTGTTGCGCCGAACTTTTTTTAATCAGCACCGGAGAGTCGCACTACTTGATAACCAAACAATTGGATTCCCCGATATTTCTGGTAGTAAAAAAAAAAAAAAAACTAATTTATTTTTTTTTTTTCGCAACCATCAGCGATAGGAAGGACGCTGATACCGAGGTACTTCCGCTCGATATTCGAGGGCGGCGTCTCGGAGCTCTACTTCAACATAAAACACGTGAAGGAGTCGTTTCACAACACCAGCATAACACTCGAGTGCGATCAATGCACGATGGTCACGCATCACGGGAAACCGACTTTCACGAAGGTGAGCCCCCCATAACGCGTCGCCGCTGCTTCTTGCTGCACTTGCAACATTCACATTACTTATTTGTTGGGTGCGCTTGTGTACTTTTTCACACGCACTCTTATTTTATTTTATTTTTATTTTTTTCTTTTTCATTTACATAGTTACATGCTCTATAGTTTGAAAATCTTCATCAAATTTGCTATCGTCTGCAGACTTGGGTCATTATTTTATTTTATTTTTTTTCAATGGACTTTTCAATACTTTGAAATAAAATTAGTTACTATAAAGAGTCCTTGCACGCAAATAGTGTGTTTATTCGGTGGGGGGGAATCGTAACTGAAAGTATGTGAAAAAGTATCCGTGACCAAGTCTGATTGTCGATGGATTTATTTAGTAAAAAAAAAAAAAAAAAAAAATTAGAAAAAGAATTAAAAATCCCGTCGTTCTGGCTTTGCTGGACCTAGATTCAGCATGATGCGCTGGGTTCGCAGGTGTGCACGGAGGCGAGGCTACTGCTCGAGTACACGTTCGACGACCTCATGAGGATAAAGTCGTGGCACATGCAGGTCCGGGGCCACAGGGAACTCGTGCCAAGGACGATGTTCCAGATGTCCCAGGACCCGACGACTCTCGAACACCTCACCAAGAACATCACGAGGCAGGGCATCACCAACTCAACGCTCAATTATCTCAAGGTGAGAACAATTTTTCAAACGTTTTGTCTCACTTTGGTTCTCACAGATCCGGAGGATTTTTTCCTCGATTTTTTCAGCGGGGTTAGACTAGTCGTTTGTACTTTGGCTATCTGAATCCGAATCTTTCGTCAGAGTTATGACAGTTGAGCTGTTAGTGGCAAGAAAATATTAGAAAATTACTCAAGTCAGCTTAAGAAATGTAAAAGACGAAATATTCGAGTCCAGTGACCCTTGTATGAAAAAAAAAAATCGCGATACTACGAATTTACAAAACGACGAGGCCATATCTATTAGTCATTACGTACTCATGTGTCTCTTTGGTACTCTTCGCAGTTGTGCGTCATCCTAGAGCCGATGCAAGAGCTGATGTCGAGGCACAAGGCGTACGCGCTGTCGCCGCGCGACTGTCTCAAGACGACGCTGTTCCAGAAGTGGCAAAGGATGGTTGCCCCGCCGGGTAAGCGAGGTAGACGGACAGTTGCTTTACATGAGAACACCACCAGCCAGTGGATCATCGCCAGTCGTCTCTGCACACCCACCTCCCCCTTCCTCTCTGTCTCTCTCTTTATCTTGCTCTCTTTTTCTCTCTACCGGTGTTATTGGCTCTATACCGTCCAAAGTGTAGATACCGAGGTTTAAATGGTGAAAAAAGTTGATGATTTTCGTACTTTTCACGTCGGAGCGTCATTTTTACGAACCCCCAACATGCATACTAACGTCATCCGGTTCGACATCTCAACAGTGTTGTGCAAACTGTCGCCCCACTACCATTGTTTCCCTTTTGTTTTTCTTTTAACTGCGTTTAAGTACACATGCTCGATTAGCCGCAGACGGATGCTACCTGCCCCCTTACGCACTATACTTTGACAGCAACACGGCGGACAACAGGAACTGTTTTTTTTTCTTTTTTGTTTTAAGATCAATAAGTTGAATACTTTGGAGAATCATACGCGAGAACGATACGATGGGAAACGCGCTTTTATTTCACTGGCGTGTGTTTCTAATGACACGGAGAAAAATTGCAGAGTACTTTGGACGTTTCTTGACTTATTTTTCTCTATTTCGCCACACTTTTCGCTACAATTTTATCTTACAGGCTACATGTTTATATTTTTGTTTTGTAGTCGATGATTTTTTTTTGTTGTTTTTTTTTTACGTAAATCTACACAATTACGCTGATAGTGACATTCTTTTGTTTTTTCAATGATATCTTATCTGATTTATCGTCTGTGCATGCACTGTGCCTGTTTCTTTGCACCATATATTCTGTACACGTATAAGAGGCCTTTGATACTGAGAAAGGTCCACAGCTGGGTAGTTTTAGCATAGCTGAGCTCACATCACCAGTCTCTGTTTTATGGTTGATGTTGGTTCTTTCAATTGTTTTTCAAGCGCTTTTAGCGATCGCATTCACTTTTCGCTCTCACAAACAAAACAAAATTAATAATTAATAAATAATACGCCACGTCATTGACCACCTGTTGCGAGGTGTTTTGGGATGTAAGCTCAGCTCGCCAATATTTTTGCACATGCTTTTATGAAACGATAAAAGCTCGGCGCTCTGCTTGCAAGTACTAAGCGAATCGCGCTGTTTTTTTTTTCCAGAATCCCAGAGGCCGACGAACAAGAGGAGAAAGCGAAAAGGCAGCACGTCTGGACCGGGGAATAACGCGCCGCCAGCGCCGAGTAAAAAGCGATCGCCGGGACCGAATTTTTCCCTCACGACTCAGGTAGCAAAATCATTATTCCTCTAAATAGATCCTCAACTCAACGACTAAAACAAACACGACAAATGATTGCTCTTGGACCGGTTAAATGTTAACCCGCAGTGTTTCTTGCAGGACGTGATGGTCGTGGGCGAGCCGTCGTTGATGGGCGGTGAGTTTGGTGACGAGGACGAAAGACTGATCACGAGGCTGGAGAACACGCAGTACGACGCCGCGAACAGTCTCGACCCGCACAGCCACGAGGCTCAAGCCGGACCACCGAATCATCCGCATCAGTTTCACTCGGAACCTCAGCCTGGCAACTCTTGGCCACCAGACAGGGGTCCAGGACCCCCACAGGGTGGACCTGGAAATCAGGTAGCTGCGTTATTCACTTTTACCGCTCTTTCCCTTAGTTGACACGTTCTCTCACGTACAACGATACAATCATAACGGATGACTTATTGCGTAGCAATTAACCAACAGCAACAACAACAACAACAACAACAACAACAACCACAACAACAACAACAACAACAACAACAACAACAACAACACCTACTACTCTGCTTCCAGGGAGTTCAAGGAGGACCCGGTGGAGCAGGCTCTGGTGTGCAAGGAGCGCAAGACGCGAGCCAACAACAGCAGGACAAGAAAAGCCCCGCGGTGAGCCAGTGAGGCCAGGAGTCCCCGCGCCCCCCCACCAGGGGGCGACGGGGGCGCCGGCCCAAGAACGTGGCTCCCTAGCGGGGCGAGAATTCTCAACTCCCCACGCCCTATTTGACCGGCAATTCGGGTCCACCCCCATCGGCCGCCAACTCGTCCCTGCCATCGACTGCCGCTCGCTTCTCCCAGATCGGTACGCTGCCCCTGCCCCCACAGTCCCAGCACTCGATGATGCAACCGATGATGGACAGTCTCCAGCATCATCATTCTCATCATCATCATCACCAGCAGTCGCAGCAACACCATACCCACAGTGGAGGAGGAGGTGTAGCAGGCGGTGGTGGTGGTAGTGGTGGTCTAAGCCAGTTGCTGCAGCAAGGCCAGCAAGCCCTTGGTCAGGCTGGCGCCGGCCAGGGACAGAATCCATTGCAGAGCATACTACAGCAGGTCATATACCTGCAACAGATCGAGTACCTGCTCACGCAGCACGGCCACATCTAAACAGCAACAGCAGCAACAACAACAACAACAACAACAACAACAACAACAACAACAACAACAACAACAGCAGCAGCAGGAACAAACTTGAGGGAAGTTAAGTGTTATTGACGTCATCGTCGTTGTCCCGATCGTTTGTGTGTATAATTTTCGTGCGAGTGTGAGTAACTATCATTTCCGCTACGATACTTATAACCGAGCGCTCCTTGCTGACGTCGTAATGCGATGTTGTTGTCACACCCGAGGTAGATGTAGCACCGTTGCATACACCGACAGACGTTGTTCGCTTGTAAGCTCATCGGTTGGATCTCGTTAGAAGCTTCTTCGCAAGAAATTTTCAATATGTTTTGGCATCATTTGTACAGGCTATTTTTATTACTTTCTTTGTATTCTCTGGTATACTCAAGAAAAATTGCACCGATAAGTCTTGGAGGTAGGAAAATAGTTCAGACTATAAATTCCATCATGTTTCAATAATCTGTTTTTTTAATGATTTGTCATGGTTCAATTATTCATCACACCTCCCGTAATGGTCGGGAAATCTTGAATTGTTTTTACTTTGAAGATGAGAAACCGATTCGAAATAACTATGACATTGAATTTGCTCATTTAATGCTTTATAAATAGGTCAACTAGAAAATTTCAATGTTTTGTGCGTTACAGCTTCAGTCCCGAGATCCTTCAGATTAAAAATTGTTTTGAGCAAAACGTTTTTAAAACTGTCTGCTCGACGTTCAAGTGGATGGTTAAACAATTGTTTCTTCGAAAGTCTGTTGTAAAATATTCTGATGATTCGTTTTCTCTTTCACTTGATAGAAATACACTTGAATCTAAAACAACAGTCACAACGTTTTGCTGAAAAAACAATTTGAGAGAATTGAACTAAAATTACGTTACTGTGGTCGGTGTAACAAGATAATGGGCAAGTCTCTCTCATGATGGGATTCGCGCTTGTGCGTGCGAAAAAAGGGTGCCGTAAACCGAGGATTGTCTGTCCCGTTTGCACATTCTTCGTTTGTGCAGCGCAAAAAGGACGATCGGTACATAGTTTTCGTGTAGTGCGTAAAATAAAGTAAGCATTCGGCGTGTGATATATTATACATATACGTGTGACGCGAGGTTAAAGGGAAAATATACATAGATTATAAATACAAGAGATAAATTGTAAAACGCTGATGAGGAGAACAAATGGATAAGTGTTTAATTGAAAATAAAAATATAATGAAGTTAATAAGAGAAGCGGAATGTGTGTGACTCTATGATTACGCGAACAAGGAAACACAGCTGAAAGAAACCTTGGAAGAGGATTTCAAGTAAAGAAAGAAATGAGACAGTGAAAGATGAATTATCGCCACGCGCGGCAGGGACGATTTTTAAATCCGCACGCTCTGACGCGGAGCTGTGAACGAATCTCTATCCGTCAACAGTATTGATATAATTAATAAAGTAAATGAAAATATTAAGAAATAAGGGAAATTCTAGTGTAAGAGTGTATTGTGCAAATGTGTGGTTTGCAAGCGAGATAACGTTTTCAAGGACAAATGTGAAAGACGAAATTAGAAGAGAAAGTAGTGGAGTAAGAGCGATGAAGAGATTTTTTTGGGCAAAGAGAACGAGGTACATACAATTTGTTGATAAATGATAGAGATGCAAATATTTTATGTACGATCGCCAATCATGTTTGTTAGATCGAGATTTTTATTAAACTTTTCCTTTGTATCAGGCTTCTTTTCTGTTCACGCAAGTCATTCAGTTTTATTCATTTTTCCTATTCTTAAAATATGTTTATAAGTCTACATATAATGTTTGTAAATGTTTGATCTTTTCTATCACCAACACAAATTTTTATGGAATTAAAAAGTGGCAAAAGTCTATTCTGATATTCCATTTGCACGGTTAGGATCCTTTTATGAAAATTTTGAGTACTACACTGTTTGTGTGAATTTTTTTCTTCTTCTGTAAATACCACGTGTACTTTTCATAAATGAAAGTAAACGATTTTCTTGGGCATCGATTCTATCGAAGAAAATTCATTTTTATGGCTAATCAAATGTTTGGTACAAGGTTGTTGAATTTAAGGTGTAATTTTGTTATGGTTAGCCATAAAAATGTTTTAGGATCTTGATATTCAAGAAAATTTGCGATAGTTGTATTTAAGAATTCAGAGTAGTAAAAAATCTCTCAAGTACGTTGTACATTAGATTCGGTTCATTATTGCCAGGTGTGAAATGTGAATTGTGTATATGTAGTTCCTCATTTGTTAAGCTATGCATCACATGCATGTTCCTTGTCTTAATTGTTCCTATGATTTTTTTTTTATTCAATTGATTGTAAGCATCGCGTGAAAATAGGGCATTAATTGACCAATAATCTGTAGATTTCCATTTTTTATTTTCCAATGAACTATTTTTTATAATTCATGGTTAAAAGAAATAAAAAAAAATTTAATTTAAGAAGTATTATTGAGACTTGCGTGCAAAGGCTGACGTGTAATAATTATTTGCATTTTTAAGAGTAAAGATGACTAAGTATAATCGCAAGAAAAAACACACGTACCTTCATGCATGAATTTAGTCATTTGCAATGTCTTCTTTTTGCTTTATAAAGATAATAAAATTGAAAAGCAAAATCAAAAGAAGTATCATTATCTTTGTTTCATTGATAGACCTTCATCATGAATGTTATCTGTTTTTGCCACTTTTTATTTCTTTAAAAGAAATTCTTTGTTTCGCAAATCAGTCCAATTTCTTTTTTTTTTTGGTGCAAATTTGTAGTTGTAAATATTTACCGTGTATTTTAAAAATACAGTATAAAAAAATATGTTTGCTCTTTTGAGAACAATAACAAGTTTTTAGCATCAATCTGCCTCGTTTTCCGCTCAACTGCGTGTAAAAAAGAAAGATTATACATACGAGGAAATTTAGTTCATAGGACACATTTCGAAAAAAAAAGATAAAAGAAAAAAAGAAAAAAAAAACTCAAGCGAATGAGATTTTTCCAACTGCAATTATTTGTTTACACATCAGTAACACAGATACACGTGAAAAAAAAGTTACATTTTCAGAGAAAATATACATATAAAAGGCATACACCAATCGAGAATTAGTTTACTTAAGACACGTGTGAAAAGAAGCCAGTAAAGTCCCATAGCACGAATGAATTCGTGCGAAAGTAATTAAAAAATAATAAAATAAAATAATAGAGTGAGTATGTTTGGGCATGTTGAATTAGAACGTATGTATAAGAATGAATGCATTTATTGGATACAAAGAAAAAAAAATAGAGATAGCACAGAAAATGTCAAGGAGCGTTCCGTGGATTTTTAGGATAAAATGATTCTATTGACAAATGTTGTATATTATTACGAATTATAATGACACTATTATAATTAATTAATTATTATACTCTACATAATGTGAATTGAATTTAAACGACAGAAAAAAATGAAGTAAAAGAATACAATGAATGATAAGTAATAGGAAGAAATTTTTAATTGTTAGCGAAACTGCACAGAGTCGCAGAGAGAGTGAGAGAATAAATAATGTCGATTCGCTCGCGTAATCGCAAATTCAGGTAGAGAGCGACGATTATTTAATAGTAATAATAATAGTAATACAAAAAAAAGTATAGATGCAAAACTCAAAACTTTTTCTCAACACCAATGCCGAAGTTGACGAAGGTCAAACTGTGGAAAATGGACATTGAGCGCCTAAATTATTATTTTTCAATTTGTATTAGGTAGTAAGAGAAGTGCATTATCAACAATCGTTCGATTGTAGATTTATAATTATAACATTACTGAATCGCGTGGCTATCCATTTGACTGTAAATAAATCAATATAAATTATTCCTCTTGTCGTGTACTTTATTTTTTTTCCATTTCATAGACTGTACTTTTTAAAATGTTTCTTTTTTCTTTAACGTTAAAAGTAGTCGAAGATGTTGAGAATGCATTTTTTAAACAAACGTACATACATGCTCAAGGGATTTGTCACGATTTTTCATATGACTAACGAATGTTTCTCAGAATGTGCGAGTATTTACAGACTTTTTAAGCGTCTTGTATGATAATCGAAAAATTATTCAAAACAGATCCCTTTTTTTCCTCTTTTGTATATTGGTTGTATCGACTTTCATAGTTTATCCTGTAATTTTTCGTCCAATAAAATAAAACATATTAATTTGTAAATCTACTAAGGTGAAATTTTTATTTTTAATATTCTCAGACGAAAAACATCTAAAATTGAATGATGAGTTTTTTCATCAGCTATCATAGAAAAGATTTTCTACTTTTAATATGCAGTATTCCTACAGGTCTTTTTTTACATAGTTCAAGGATCGAAATAACTAAATGTTAATAATTCATCGATGTTTGAAATATCTTTAAAAAAATATTGCGGGATAACGACTGTACACAACATAAGCTAAAACCAAAACGAGTCTTAAGATTTTATTTTATTTTATATTTTGATAGATGTGACTTTTAAAGTCGACTTTCTAGAACAAAAAAAAAAAAGATACTTTGTCAAGACTTGCGTGGTTTTGGTTTTGAATTATTACATGTACAAGAAGAAGCCTCCATGTCTGTAGTCCAAGATATTTCTTTGTCGCAAAATTGAATAAAAAAATTAAATAAATAAATGACATGTCGGTCAATTTTGAAGTACGATTGTGTTTTAGAAAGAATTTAAAAGTGAAAGAGCGAAAACGTCATATGTGCGCACACTGGCATCGTGTATAAAATTAAAAAAAAAAGATGAAAAAATCAAGAAAACAAAAATAATAAAAAGAAATCACTAGCAAATTAGGGGGGGATCTGTTTGATTCGCGTGCGAGGATATTAAAACATTAACCCTTTAAGTGGACGTGGATTTGCTCGGTATATTATATTAATATACATTCAGAGTGTATCCCTTGCCATGACCAATAAATTAGGAAGAGAGAAAAAAAAAACAATCGTCATCTAACTGCATTTTTACGCACTCCCCAAACAAGAAATAAGTAAAGACATAAAACAAATTTTTATCCTTGTCATTTGTATTATAGCAACATGTGTTTAAAAGTCCATCATTATATGTATGTAATCAAAATTGTAACTGAGAAAACGTTAATAAAAAAAAAAAAATTCCAGATTTTCTTCCTTTTCTCTTACACCCCATACAAAAACTCATTTTGTTATATATACCTACAGACATGCACCCACATCACTGCAACATCTGCAATAATAAACGACAGTCTTCTCATGTCAGACGAGGCCAATCATTTTATTTGTTTCGATGATGTTGACCTGTGATTTGTGTCACACAACACATAAGTTGTGTGTGACACTGTGACTCTACTATCAACACCTAAAAACGCTGGCTGCCGGTATATGTTGTTTGTAGTGTGCAAATTTGCAAAAGCAATTTGATCTTACAAAAATGAACCCATGGTCAATTTTAAAGCATAAAATGACTTTAAATCATGTTGCAAATAGCATTTCCGAAGACAATATTTGGTTTGTATCTTGTGGTCAAAATTGCGGCTGGTTTATAATTGATTACATGGCTCTACTGTGAGTAATTGTAATAATTATTTGGATCAGCGCCATCTAGCGTTTCGGATTTTTGAACTAAAAAGTGGCCTCTAAAATTCTGAAACCGAGCATAAGGGCGTAGAGCCATTTAATCCATTATAAACCAGCCGCAACTCATCTTGTAGCAATAAAATGAAAAAATAACTATACCCCTGTTTTTGGCGGCAAGTTACAAACTATTTTCAACTCGAAAATTTATCTTTTAAAGTATAAATTCATATAAGATCGTTTTTTTAGTACAAAACAGATTGTTTACTTGCCGCCAAAAACAGGTGTATAGTTATTTTTTCATTTTATAGCTAAAAAATGCGTTGCGGCTGGTTTATAATTGATTAAATGGCTCTACGCGCTAAAGCTCGGTTTCAAAAGTTTAGAGGCCACTTTTGGCGAAAAAATGAAGACCGCTAGATGGCGCTGATCAAAATAATTATTACAACTTGCAATAGAGCCATATAATAAACCAGCCGCAACTAATTTGATGAATAGAAAATAATGAGATAACATTTTCTGTGCCATTTGCGGCAAGTTTGTAATATATCTTTTATCCAAAAAAAATCGACCATATTTACAAAACTGCAATATTTTAGACCTTTTAACATTAACTCATGGAAGCATAGCCTTTCAACTTTATAGTTCGAATAAACAGTTAACTTATATTATATGTACATAGCAACATTTAGCTATGTTAATCAATATAAATTAGCGAGAACATGACAAATTGCTTTACTTTCTTGTATGCTTTATTCCTCCCTTTTTTGCATGTGTATTTGAATATTATCCAACTTAAACCTTATCAGTATCTTGGTGTTTTACTAACAAACGATATATTATTTAACTGCAAAATTAGGTAATCCTACAGAAGATCGTTAGCTTAAAAGAAGTCAAACAATGTCAACATTTTTTTGTTGTTTTAACACGATTGTATTTGTTATTTAGCTGTTTAGAGAATCGCAGCAAGAGTATACAATAAATTTTCTCTGTTAATAGGTTGCCGAAGTAGCATATACTAAACAAACGTGAATTATTTGCTAATATTACACGTGTATCAAAATAAAATAGTTAGTTTGACATACTAATATATTTGACATACTAATAAAGTATCATTTCAGAGATATCTATTTTTATATTTTCTCCATTTATTGGAAAAGTTGTTGCTGAGTATCTGTGATTGTTGGTTGAAAAGGTACTTGGTGCATATTTAATTTTTAATGTTTTTTGTACATCGATATTATACAATCGAGTATACAATAGTCCGTCAACAGCAAGAAATATTGAAAATATCTTTATATTTATTATTCTACTTAAATGTTGTCAATGCTTAAAAAGTTAAAGGTAAAAGGTCTAAAATATTGTAGTTTTGTAAATATAGTCGATTTCATAAGCCATGTAAGATAAGCAGAATATTTATTATTTTGGAGATCGATTTTTGGGTAGAAAGTAATTTGTAAACTTGCCGCAAATGGCACAGAAAATGTTATCTCATTATTTTCTATTCATCAAATTAGTTGCGGCTGGTTTATTATATGGCTCTATTGCAAGTTGTAATAATTATTTTGATCAGCGCCATCTAGCGGTCTTCATTTTTTCGCCAAAAGTGGCCTCTAAACTTTTGAAACCGAGCTTTAGCGCGTAGAGCCATTTAATCAATTATAAACCAGCCGCAACGCATTTTTTAGCTATAAAATGAAAAAATAACTATACACCTGTTTTTGGCGGCAAGTAAACAATCTGTTTTGTACTAAAAAAACGATCTTATATGAATTTATACTTTAAAAGATAAATTTTCGAGTTGAAAATAGTTTGTAACTTGCCGCCAAAAACAGGGGTATAGTTATTTTTTCATTTTATTGCTACAAGATGAGTTGCGGCTGGTTTATAATGGATTAAATGGCTCTACGCCCTTATGCTCGGTTTCAGAATTTTAGAGGCCACTTTTTAGTTCAAAAATCCGAAACGCTAGATGGCGCTGATCCAAATAATTATTACAATTACTCACAGTAGAGCCATGTAATCAATTATAAACCAGCCGCAATTTTGACCACAAGATACAAACCAAATATTGTCTTCGGAAATGCTATTTGCAACATGATTTAAAGTCATTTTATGCTTTAAAATTGACCATGGGTTCATTTTTGTAAGATCAAATTGCTTTTGCAAATTTGCACACTACAAACAACATATACCGGCAGCCAGCGTTTTTAGGTGTTGATATTCTGCTGGTTTGTAACTAATATGTAAATTATCGTTTTAGTCTCATGAATTGAAAATAAAATTAATTCCATCCGCTTTCAAGTATGGCTATGGCATCGTTGTTTTACTTCTACTCACATCATGTGTTAATTTGACACGATTGACACATAGATGTATCACGTATATTAAGTATCGAGAATTTACCAGATCTATTTTGCAAAAAATTAGGTACTCAATAAGTATATATTTGTGAATATGAAATTTTTATGGACGCCATAAGATAAATATGCAGATGTTACGTCCGTTCATTAAATGCTGCTATGCCTTTATGCAGCATTATTTATTTGAGATTATGAGCCGCAGAATAATTACGTTCCGTAAAAATTACTCAAGTCTTTTCAAAATAGTATTTTGATCATTAAAAAAAAAATCATGTAGTGTAACAGCAGTTTTTATCAACAATTACATGTATCATGAAGTGAAATATTCATAATACTCGATTTGTATCAGTATTTTTATCATTGGACACGTTTTATTATCGAGTAACTTATGAAAAAATAATATTTCATATATTTTAATAGTACATGAATAATTCTCTCAACAATTTTTCAAACGGATTTATTTCTTTTTCTAAAAAATTACAATAGTTTGTACATTTACTTTGACAGGGAACTACTGTAATTAAATTTACAAACTTTTACATTTTATCACAGATTTGCTAACAGTTTTTTCTTTAGATAGCAATTGCAACAAAGTTATTAATAACCAGTAAAAAATAAGTAAATCATATTAAAAAAATAGAGTGTACATAATTCATTATAGGTAATATTACTTAAATTAAAAATTTTTTTAAATATAAAAATTATTATCCCATAGTAGCATGATGATCATGCTGTGAACACATTCATAATTTTGCATCAACAAATTCAACAAATCGATCAGTTAAAAAGTTTTATAAAAAAATCTGTTAATTCGTAAAAATACTGAGTATTTTTGAAACAAGTACTATTTAATGACTACCATCTTCCTCCAAAACGATCACTACCATTTCTTCCTCCTCTATTTCCACCTCTGCTACTTCCATATCTTCTTCCATCTCGTTCCTCAGATTTTCTTTTCTGCATCTCATCATGACGATCAGCCATACTGTACAGTTCTTGTGGTATCTCCTGTCGACAGTTGACATTTAAACATTTTTTGGAATTACATTAAAAACTTGTAACATACTAAAGATTTAATTGCACTTTTAAAATGAATAGATAAAAATTGTTATTTTTTTTACTTAATCATCAATTCTACTAATGTTTAGTAAGATACTTGGACATTATTTATATAATAACGAAAGATACTTGATATTAAATTTTACCTGTTCTGCTTCTTCTAGAATTTTTATTAGCTCTTTGGCTAAGGCCCAGTCCCTGCGCGTGAATAAAGAAATACTTTCACCAGTACGACCAGCTCTACCAGTTCTTCCTACTCTATGTACGTATTCTTCGATATCTCGAGGAAAGTCGTAATTAAAAACATGACTGAAAATGCAGTACCAATATTATAATGTAAGTAAAAATTAATATGAGAGTAAAAATAATGAGAAATAAAAATAAATATTACGTTATATCTTCTATATCGATTCCTCTGCTTGCTACATCAGTAGAAAGAAGTATACGAACGTCACCACTTTTAATATCCGCCAAAGCTTGTTCTCTGTCGCATTGTTCACGATCTCCATGAATACTTTGGCATTTCACACCATGTAGAGCTAAATCACTTCCCAAATCGTCAACTTTGGCTTTTTTTCCAAAGAATACAATTACTTTGTCCTCTAGGGTCATATTTTGGAAGAATTCCTTCAACTAAATCAAAATTTAAAAAATCAATGATAAATTCATTATTGTATTATAGTAACAACAACAACAATAATAATAATAATGATAATCGTACCAGATCTATTTTTTCGTCTTCGTTCACAATGTATACCTTTTGCGTAACTGAATGCACAGCCTTCAAGTCCATTGATCCAACGCAAACTGTGATTGGATTCTTCATATAAGATGTAGCAAGTCGTCTTACACCAGGAGGCCAAGTAGCGCTATTTTTTTTTTAGTATAAAAGTTATCAGTCTCACATCGTAGTGAAAGTATACTTGTCTGTTGAAAAATAAATTTACCTTGTCATAATAGATTGACGATCGGGTCTCACGTCCAGCAAGGTTTTTCTAATTTGGGGCTCAAAGCCCATATCCAGCATACGATCAGCTTCATCCAAAACTAAATAAGATACACCTTTAACATCCAAGTAATCTGTTTGCACAAGATCATTAAGTCTTCCCGGTGTGGCGATCACGATTTCTACTCCCTCTGAAAGCATTTTAACTTGTTCTGATCTATTACCTCCGCCATACACGCACACTCTAAAAATAAATTTCGAGAATTGCATACAATTTTTTATTAGTCATTGTTTATTTAAAATAAATCGTGCTTTCATTTTGCCAAAAATCCTATTTATACTTACGCCCTGATGCCGTGATAGTCGTACTTTTTCACTTCTTTGTGAATTTGCAAAGCCAATTCTCGTGTAGGTGCCATCACAAGCACTGTAGGGCCAGATCTCTTACTTCTAGGAATTTCTTGATTATCAATATGTAATAAAGCAGGCAAAAGAAATGCAAGGGTTTTTCCTAAAACAATGTAAGGTTACATGATGGGAAAATATACCAAGTATAATTTGTCACAATAATTAGTATTAAAAAAGAAAAAATACTACCTACCTGTGCCAGTTTGAGCAATACCTATCATGTCTTTGCCGCTTAGGAGTATTGGCCATGCTTGACATTGAATGGGACTTGGTTTTTCAAAGCCTTGTTTTTCTATTTCCACTAGTATATCTGGATAGTGCTGTTATTTAAACAAATGCTTAATTATAATAGTTAAAAAACGCCATGTATTAATTGAAAAAAGGCTTACTTTAAAAGCTTGTTCAAATGTTTGTACAGGATTGGGAATGTGATGGTCCGTTATCGTGTCTGTTTCAAAGGTGTGCGCAACATTGATGTCATTATTTTCCAGCCTAATTTTTTCCACTTCCTCTTTTGTCATGTTAGCTACTTCAGGATCTTCTATATAGAAATTTTTTTTAACGTCAGGATAAGTAGCCCACTGTTTTTGCTGATACTCTTCCTGAAAAATGAAATTCAACGTCACGCAATTTTTATTCTCTTATAATGCTTCTGTACATAATATTTTATATCTTACGCATTCTTTGGCTGCTACAGTCCAATCGATATCAGTAATAGTGTTAATACTGTTTGAATCATCACATTTACTATAATCAGGATTACTGCAATCGTCATTCTGAGTTTCACATTCATGTGGTTCCATCACTTTGCTGTTCAATAAGCTTTCAATCATAGATTTCAACTGCTCTTGTGCATCTTTAGAACCAATAACAGTAATGAGAGTATTGTTTCCTTTAATACACTCCTTATTAATCTGAAATTATACAAACGTAGTCAACTATTATGTGTGACATATGAAACAAAATTTGTATTGAGCACCAAATTTTCAAAAGTACAGTTTTTACTATTAACATAATTGAAAAACTGTTACATAAGATATTAGAATATTAAGAGTGAAAATAAAATTTCATTTATTCTTATATAACCGGCACGCTTGACAAAAAAAATTGACAAGTAATGGTAAACATGGAAAAAGTATTTAGTTACCCACATAAATTTTTGTTCCACTCTGCTGTTGCAGTTCTTTTATTTGACTTCCTCCTTTTCCAATCAATTTACCTAATTTGGAAGTTCCGACATAAAAAGTCGTTTGTTCTTTACTTGATGTGTTTGTGTCCCTGTAGTTTTTGCGAGCACCTTGGTGCATGTTTCTACTTTTTTCATTCTTATTTGAACTACGATTAAATTGATGATTAGGGTTATACTGTCTAAAGTTTTCCCTCGATCTAGCACCGTAATGATTTGTTGAAGGAAGCTGTTGTGCAGATTCTTCATCATCCCAATTTTCCTCCATCCTTAGGAAAGAGAAATTAAATTTATTACACACACACACACACACACACACACACACACACACACACACACATGATGATGTAAGAGGGTTAGGAAGCTATTTAGTAAAATCATAGACATATTCTATATATTCTATGGTAAAATGTAAAAACATTTACTTCAACATGGCATTATGATTAACAGAAAATCATGTATCAAGCTAAAGTTATTAAAAAAAAATGGAAAAACATCTCGGCATAGTTTGCAGTCACACACTATCCAATAACAACTCACTGATTCATAGATATTATGTTTATTACTTACGTGTTTATTATTGCAGTAAATAAATTAATCTGTTTAAAAAATTTCTCTAGTAATTATGAAACTATTGAGAGGAAAACAATTTAAAAAAATTAACAGGTACGTCAATCAAATGACAAAGATAAACTTGATCAACTACAAGTGCAGTTGTAAGAGAGACCCACGGCCCACCCCACGGCATGTATTCATAGCAGAACAGAACAGCGGAAAATCGACGAAGAGTGTGGGAGGTCCTGGAGGACCTGCATGGAGTTTGGACCCTATTAAGTAAAGGGGGGGGGGTAGAATTCTTATATTATTTATATGAAATAGAATCTTAAGAAAAATAATTGTTATTAAGCGATTATATTGTGATGCGGACTTCGTGGACAAGACCGAAGCAAAAAAGCATCGGTTTTGGTGTATTTTAAAGACTTTTGAAAATGTACGTTTAATGGTAAAGCTTATTGTATCTTTATTATCAAAAGATTTGTTTTCTTTGTTTATTTTTTTTTTTCCCTTCGTGTACCATTGTTTGGAAAGTTAGTGTAGGTACGAGTTCCATTCAACGATACTTCCAAAAATCATGCATACAACATACTGAAAAATCGTGTTTTGATCAAAAAATTATATTTATCCCAAGCTGAAAATGTTGTACGTAAAATGTGTTAGTATATAGTAAATGAAATATAATCGATCAGCGGAAAATCCTCGAAAAAATGTTTACTCCAAACTACAGTGCAATGAATGTTTTATAAGCTATAATGTTTTGATTTTTTTTCTTTTTCAAAGTACGTTGAAAAATAAAATATGTGTATAGGCAATTGTGATAATTTTTGCAGTTTTTTTTTTAACCAACATTATTATTATCCAGCAATTTTTTCCCGAAAAACCTTATAAAATATGGCGATAACAAAAAAAAAAAAAACATGTGAATAATGATCGCATCCAGAAAAAAAAATGTTTTTTGAGATCCGTATTTGGAACAGTCGTTGACTGTACATTTGATTACCAGTCAAGGACAAACAATACACAATTGAGACAAGTTCAAGGTTTCAAAGTGAACCGCCTCGATTTTTTTTTTTTTTTTTTTTTTTTTTTTTTTTTTTTTTTTTTTTTTTTT